TTGATTCTTTTTTTTTCTTTCAGGACAAAACAGTAACGACGTTCGATAAATCAGGATCCTGGAAAGCAAAAGTGTCTGCCACTAATGGCGAATCGGTGTCTGAGTCAGATTTTGAAGGAACTAGAGAAGTAGCTCTTGTTGAAGGGATAGCAAACTTTACTGATTTACGATTTATTAAACCTAAAGATGGGTAGGTTTACAGAGAGGCATTATTTATTCTGACATTGGAAGCTACTGAGAATACTTCAAATAAATAAAATCATTTTTCTACCCTGACCAGTTGTATATCGTAACAAATAGTAAGAAAACAGTCATTGTTCCAACAGGCCTTCCTTTCACGTTTAGGGCATTTTGGTGCTCACCCATAAATCTGCTTTCTTAACATTTTATTGTTCGCGAGAAGGTAGATTTTAATTGTCAGCAGCATTTCTGTAGGTTTCAAACAAATTGTGCAAAGTGAACAACTTTTAGCTGACGTATTGTTTAGCAACGATCGGAATCATTATTTACACTTGATAGCCTAATTCGGTGAATGTAGTGTATATAGTTGTATTTTAGTTATTGTGCCAAATATTTTTAAGTATATCTGCCAGATGTAGCGAATATAATAGTATTAATTATTCAACGGGAATTCACTAACCATGCTTTACATACAATAAAAACATTTGCAGTGAAATAGTGAAAGAAAGTGTGATTTTGTAATATCTCAAGCAATTGAGATATTATAAAATATATCTATAAACACAGAGATATATTAAAGCTTATAAACGATATGTCTGTCCGTGTAAATGAACAAATGAAATTATAAAATAGAAAAGATTTATATGAAAAATATATTTATAATTATGATATTACATGTATTTGTACGATAATAATAATAAATTATCCATGTTTAATGATGCTTCATTTATATTGTGAAAAGATGAGTTAATATACTTATTTGGAGAATGAAAATTATCTATAGCTGTAAACGCTTTTGGTGATAAAGATTATAAGTTTCTTAAAAGGTGAATCTAGCATGTGAAATTTTAATGTTAAGATTCCTAAGTACTATTTCTTATATCTATTTAGAATGTTCATCACTTTTATGGTTGATAATGGAACGTCATCAACCAGCTCATCAAAGCCTCTGAAAGCAATGTTTGGACCAATAAACGTTATACATCGTCCATTGAAACTAAGGCAGATATCTAACGGGGTGCCTTATAACGTGAAAGAGAATGGTAGTTTAGGAGCCTTAATTGGAGTTACGATAATTGATGACATAGACAATCAACCAGCCAACTCAAGCGTTATTGGTGTAAGTGTTTCTAAGTTACCTTTCTTAACGTACATTGAATAAATTATTAACAGTTAAAAAACAACAACAAAGAAATCAGTGAGTGGAACACCAGAACTAAGTAATAGGAATATACGGTTGTTAGCTTATAAAAAGTTAAGATGTAAAAATCATCGGACGATTGAGATTATGAGTGATGAAGATAACCTAGAAAATGAATCATATTATTCATGACTTACTTCTTCTTCTTCTGTAGCTTTTTCCCGTATCTATACGGGGTCGCTATTTTCGGTGTTGGCAGGGTTTTTACGGCCGAATGCCCTTCCTGACGCCAACCATCCCCTAATTTAGCAGTGTAAGACTAGAGGGAAGGCAGCTAGTCATCACCACCCACCGCCAACTCTTGGGCTACTCTTTTACCAACGAATAGTGGGATTGATCCATCACATTATAACGCCCCCACGGCTAAAAGGGCAAGCATGTTTTTGGTGGAATGGGGGCGCAGATTGTGAATCGAGCGTCCTACCCACCTGGCCATGCTGGGCCCCTATTCATGACTTACAATTTATGATTTATGAAGCCCATCAATTTATTAAAATGAGATCATTGCTCTCAATCCGAGAAATAGTATGTGTTGGTCTCTGAGATAGAGGTTTGTCTGAATTATATTTAGCTTCCAATATAGAAGTTTGCATAGGGTATGTTTTATTTCATTAAATAGAGGTTTGTCTGATAAATTTTCCAATTTCTCAAATAGAGGTATGCCTGAGGCATGTTTTAGTTTCTCGGATAGAAGTTTGCTTTGGGTATGTTTTAGTTTATCAAATGTAAGTTTGCCTGGGGTGTGTCTTACTTTCTCAAATAGAGGTTTGCTTGAGACATATTATAACTTCTCGGACAGAAATTTACCCAGGCCCGGCATGGCCAGGTGGTTACGGCGCTCGACTCGCACTCTGAGAGTCGCGGGTTCGAATCTCCGTTCCACATGCTCGCCCTTTCAGCCATGTGGGCGTTATAATGTGACTGTCAATTACACTATTCGTTGGTAAACGAGTAGCCCAAGAGTTGGTGGTGGGCGGGTCTTTCACTGCTAAATTAGGGACGGCTAGCGCAGATAGCCCTCGTGTAGCGTTGCGCGAAATTCAAAACAAATAAAGAAACAGAAGTTTACCCTGAGTATATTTTAGTTTCACAGATAAAGGTTTGCCTTGGGTAAATTTTAGTTTCAGGAATAGAGCCTTACTTGAAGCATATTTTAGTTTATCAAATAGCCTGGACTCTTAAAGACTGTTTCTGTCGTTCGACAGGTCAGAGGATATGTGATCAATCCCTTTAACAAGTTTGTGGGTGAACTGGACTGACTAATCTGTTCTAACAAATTTTTCTACTGATCCTTTAGATTTTAGCTAAATTTAAATAAGTTTGTTTGAACAAGAATACTAAGCACTATTTCAAGTATGCAAAAGTATGATTCGCATTGTAAAAAAGATATTTAATGGTATAAAAAAACTGCCCCTAATCTTGGTCAGATGATTTCTCTTCGTCAAATAATAATGTTAAACTAGTAATAAAGCAGAGATATTTTGGTAATACGTATAAAACGTGTTTAAGTTAATCAAAGAAGAACTATTAATATTAATGAATCATTTTAAAGCAGAATCATTATATATGTAACTATTACTGTTTGGACGGTTATCAGATATAAAAGACTGTTTAGTGTTAATATTTCATAATTGTTTAGTTCTTTTTCATAATAAGAGTTAAAAGCAGACGGTTATTCTAAGTTGTGTTTGTAAGTTATTGATGTAGAGGCTATCGAACATTGCGTGCAATCCAATGATGTCGAGGATATAAAGATTTCTGGAAGGCCTAAGTGATAGACGTATAAATAGCGGCAAGCAGACGAAAAAAAAAAGAAGAGAGAGAGAGCGGGAATAGAACCAAAAGTAAAGCCGAGTGAAAGAGAGTTTAGGTCAGAGAAACGTTAGAAAACGTAAAGTTAACCGTTGTAAGAGTGAATAGCCTAACCGTTGATAGGTTAAAGTGAGATTAATAGTTTTCTGACACTTTTAAGAAAATAACTTGTCTCGTCGAAGGGTATTCTAAAGCAACTGAACCTGCCTGTGTGGACTTTGACAAAAAGAAGACGATTATTAGGAAGTAGGTCTATATGCGAAAAGCAGACGTTTATTGGAAATAGACCTAAATACCAAACAAAGCAGATATCGAAAGTTCAAGATACAATTGCGGTAACTCAACGACAGCGTAAGTGAATTATACGCCGATACTATTGTGATAAAAGAAAAAAGAGATAGCGAGAGAGAGAGAAAAAAGGAATAAGTGAATTATACACTGCTAGTACTTAAGATAAAAATAGTTCGGCTTGTCAACTAAATTCTAAAGCAATTGAATTGGTCTAAGTGGACTTTTGACAAGAAGAAGAGAACTTTATAGTATTTAAGATACAACTATGATATACATAGTGTAAAGAAGATTTGTACGTACGTTTAACTTGTTCCGAATATACATATTATTTTGAAAACAAGTGGAGTGCGTGCTGTTCATTTATCATTGAATTTATCGCCAACAAGTCACAGACACCTACTGTAGGAGAATCCTTAGCCTAACACACCTATATATATATATCTTTTACTGCTATTCAAATAGTAAAGTTTTGAAAACGGTATATCTTTTTGAAATTCTCCTCGTTATAGTTACAACGTTACTGATCGTCATTGTAAGGTTTAAGGATTTAACCCCTAGAAACATAATCTGGTTTCCATGAATTTCAGAACTTTTAGGTATCTTTCTGAGAGCCATTGATGTTTTAATCAAAACCGGGTTTCTAGCGTTGTAATTCTGCAGACATACCGCTGTGCTACTGGGGGTTATACTTAGTGGCTGAATATTATTCAAGACACTTGACTTTAATTCTAATGACTAACAAATAACTACAAAAAAGAAATTTTGAAAAAGTGTTTAGGCCTACGGTATTTTAAGAAGTTTAGTGTTATGAGTTTTATACACAGAAAGTATTTAACCCTTCAATAGAATTTGCTATAATTCTAGCCTTATGATATTTGATATATCAAAGATGCCCAAGGAAACAAGGAAAGTCACAGTGAAATGGAGATGGACTTGTTGTAATATGAAGGGTAATATTAGTGAAGTTAGATCAACAAATTTATAAGTGGTTTATTACTTGTTAACTGTTGCATTTCGACTAGCTGGTTTGATTGCTAGTTTTAATAACAAAAATATCACGAACGTAAGTTACTTGCACTTTGTAGGAAGATATACGTATGCTAAAGAAATTGCGTGTCCCTGCAGATTTGAGCCATGAAGCCACGGGCGACATGTTTAAAATCAACATGTTTGGTTCATGGCGACTTCCTGATCCTTTGATAATGTAGTGCCATTACTGACATGTTTATTGGTACATGGCGACTTCCTGACCATTTGACAGTGCAGTACCACTACTGAAATGCTTATGGTTGCACAAATATGTCATATCTATTTCGTCCCCCACTGGCAGGTAAGTCGAGCAGGCTCACGACGCTAAAAATAGGGTTTCGATAGATGTGGTGGACAGAGCACAGACAGCCCCTTATTTAGCATTGCGCTTAACATCATATCCCTTTTCGAAGATGGATAGTTTTATAGAGAAATTTAAACAAAATATAATAAACAACCTTTTCGAAAGAAGGCAGCATTCAGTGTTCTCCCTGGAAAGAAAAAAAAAACAACACACACACACACAGAAGAGCGTTTCGGACAACAACTGGCTCCAAAACTACACTCCAACCCAATGTCGAGCAATTCCAAAGGAAAGGCTTTGGTTACAAAAAAGAGAACCCTCCACCCGAAAGTCATTGCAATAACACTTTTAGTATTAGTACCATTAACAGGATAAATAAACGTCAAGGATGTAAAGTTGGCGAAGGCTCGCAAGCTTCCGACCGTATTTTGAAATAAACGACACGAGATATATGGATGGAAAAACTGGAATCACAGCACACATTTGTCAAGCTTTCTGATGTACCTCCAGTAGATTTTTATGTTTTGATCTGCTTCAACATGGCCTTAGAAGCCAACGCTATGTACAGTGCAAGGTTTGTGATCAAACCATAAGGACTGAGCTGTGTTATGCAGAATCTTCTTACACTCAAAAATACGACGTAATTATGATCCTCAGACTAAGCACGAAACGCTGGAGAAAACGGTCCCAGGACTTCACGTACCTGGAACGTTGTTATTATAAGTTATTGTTATAAAGGGAGATTAACCCTTAGATAGGTAGATACTATTTGAAAATTAATGAAATAATAACAATAAGTGTGATAATTGAAAGAATAGGCACGTTAAATTGTACCTTAATTATTCTGAGTTAACCATTCCCAACTTATAACTCTCTAGTAACTCTGCGGTAAGTATCAAGGCTTATAAAGTTAAAAACCGAGTTTTGATACCCGCTGTAGGCACAGAACAGATGGCCAACTATATAGCTTTGAACTTAGAGACAAACAAACAATTCCAATTACTAAAATTACAAATGGTAGCGTGAAAGATGGGCCAAGTTTATATCTAATAAATATGGCAAAACTACTCATGGTATATCTACTCATTTTTTAACGTGTTGATTCTTTACAAGCACGAGCGGCTCGTGACTACATTTTTTCTTTTCATCAACAGAATGGCACATGGAAAGCAAATGTAGGTTTCCTCTATGAAAACGTCTACAGTGCAAGTATTATTGGGGAGAAGGAAAAAGTTCTGAAGAATGGAAGCAACGAGTTTTTATTTCCTGATCTCAAAATAACCAAGTGGGGTTATAGATACTATTTGAAAATTACAGTAACAGATGACAGCAACCTTTGGAAACCTATGGATCTTACGATTGGTAAGTTCAAGAAACTGTAAACATTTAAAATATTCCATAGGATAATTTTACAGACGTTAACATCATACTTTTCTGTTAAAGGTAATAAAACTTTTCTCGCTCCAAAAATAAACGATGAACAAATCGTCTTTATCTCAAGTTTCCAGTAAAACTAAACGTTTTTATAGAAAGCTAATATCAGTTTGAAGTTAAGACATCTCTTATTTTTACTCATTTGAATATTTGTTTAAAGAAACATAGGAATATAAGTTTAAATTAATGTATACTTTGAACGTTTGTTTTGTTTTTTGAATTTCGCGCAAAGCTACACGAGGGCTATGTGTGCTAGCCGTCCCTAATTTAGTAGTGTAAGACTAGAGGGAAGGCAGCTAGTTATCACCACCCACCGCCAACTCTTGGGCTACTCTTTTACCAATGAATAGTAGGATTGACCGCGAATTACAACACCCCCACGGCTGAAAGGACGAGCATGTTTGGTGGGACTGGGATTCGAACCAGATTGTAAGTCGAGTGCCCTAACCACCTGGCCTACTTTGAACATAATGGGAATATTTTTGTTAAACGACAATAATATTTGCTAAATAGGAAAACCTATTGAGATAATATTTAAGTAAAACATTCTGAGATATAGATTTCTTTTCATCTTATTTTCAATCCCTCCTAAACAAGGTTTTATGTTTATTCTACAAAATGGAGGTCAAAATAAGTCCTCATAAATGTATGAAAGCAGATGAGATACACATATATTAATGGACAATAAAGATAAGAAATCGAAAGAAGAAGTGACAATATTTGACGGGTGCGATTGTGTACCCACGTTTTCTGATTTTAAACTCTTGTGCAATTGTTTTTTTGTGTGTGTGTGATTTTCACACTATAGTTTGATTTTATTTTTTAATGAAAGTGTTACTTGTATTAGGATAACAACTGCGATATTTTAACAAGACTTACACAAAATCCTTTCTTTTCTGTACAGGGCCATTTGATGTAGGAAAAGCAGTAGAAGAGGATACAGTAGTAGTAACATCGAAGACAAGTCGGCTGGTCACTATGACATTTAGTCAAGACTACTCTCTGGTCAGTAGAGATACTGAACGTTTCCACGTTTTCTTTCTGAACAAGTTTGGTCAAATGTATCCAGAAGTGGAGTGGATGAACTTTTCTTCTAGTGCCGGTACTTCGAACTGGTTCTTTACCGTTATTATCAAACTAAACTATCTCTGTATCTTTACCGTTATTATGAAACTAAACTTTCTCCGTATCTTTACCGTTATTATGAAACTAAACTTTCTCTGTATCTTTACCGTTATTATCAAACTAAACTTTCTCTGTATCTTTACCGTTATTATGAAACTAAACTTTCTATGTATCTTTACCGTTATTATGAAACTAAACTTTCTATGTATCATTACCGTTATTATGAAACTAAACTTTCTCTGTATCTCTACCGTTATTATCAAACTGAACTTTCTATGTATCTTTACCGTTATTATCAAACTAAACTTTCTATGTATCTTTACCGTTATTATCAAACTAAACTCTCTCTCTCTGTATCTTTACCGTTATTATCAAACTAAACTTTCTCTGTATCTTTACCGTTATTATCAAACTAAAACTCTCTCTGTATCTTTACCGTTATTATCAAACTAAACTCTCTCTGTATCTTTACCGTTATTATCAAACTAAACTCTCTCTATATCTTTACCGTTATTATCAAACTAAACTATCTCCGTATCTTTATCGTTATTATCAAACTAAACTCTCTCTGTATCTTTATCGTTATTATCAAACTAAACTCTCTCTGTATCTTTATCGTTATTATCAAACTAAACTCTCTCTGTATCTCTACCGTTATTATCAAACTAAACTCTTAATTTTTAATTGTGCGAAGTAAAAATAAACTGATGAGATTTTTTAGATACCTGAATTCAGGACAAGGTTTTAGTCTTAGAAAGTTGAAAAATTTATACTCAAGGCAAATAGAAATACAACCACCAGGTTTATTCCAGAACCAAATAGCATCAAAAGTACTATTTCTGCATCTACATGTTGCAACAAAATGAGAGGTGAACAACGATGGGGTGAAAACCACCCGTACAATTAGTCTTAATGATATTGAAATAGCAGTTACTTGACTGTCCTTGCAATAAAGCTACAGCCCTATGAATGCTTTTCACATACTGATACCAAGTGTTTATCTTACGAAAAGTAAAGATATCGAGATACATCTACCACAGGCGAACAAAATATTTATAACGTAATTTCCTTTGTAAATTGTTATTAGTTTCAATTAACAATTATCCATTTGAACCACACAAATAAAAAAACGACCAGATTTTGTGATTGAGGTTGGTAGAAGGATTAAACCCTAAAGAAGATGACTGTATGAATCATCCATGGTGCCTACTGTCATAAACAAAGTTTGTTTTTGTTTGTTATTTAGCACAAAGCTACACAAAGGGCTATCTGTGTTCTGCTCATCACGGGTATCGAAACCCGGTTTAAGTCTGCAGATATACCACTGTGCCACTGAGGGGCCACAATCAAAGAAAAACATGTATAAAAATATTATCAGAGATAAGGTGATATGCTTAAATTTAAAACTTATTATGCATAGGCATTAGATCAAGGAAGCAAGAGCCCTTATATCCAATGTAGAGAGGGCCAGCACTTTGTTCGGAACACCCATAAATAACATTAGATTTACAATTTCCCCTAATAGCATTACGTTTCTGGTCAAAAATAATAAGTCTCTATAAACAAATAAGGATTCATTTTAAGATGAATTTGACAGCTGGAGTTAAAGAATCAAAAAGTTAATATGAAGAAATTAAGGTAAAATAAACAGAAGTTCGTGTAAGTTTGTCATTAAACTGTTTGTTTTATACTATTTTCACTTGTTGTTGTTTTTTCATATTTGTATAATACTTTGGCCCCACTGCATCAAAATGTACAAAAATGACCCGTAAAACTTCCCAGTTTCCACCTGCCTTAGGCAGGCCATTTTTCAAGAGTTTAATTCACTTCCAGTTTTGCCTCCTCTCTCCCTCACACGCATTTTCTCCACAAGTCCTAAGTGCTGCATATATTTATATTAAAAAAAATGCTACCAATTATATTAACTCTTGTGGACCGAGCGTGGCCCAGTGAATATGTGTGCCGAAGTATGGATGTTCGAGTGTCTCGCTCGCATTTCTTTACTGCAAAAAAATAAAATAAATAAATAAAAGTGCAATACGCACTTTAGGGCCACGGATGCGTTATAAACGTACGTGGGCAAAAATAAGAGATAGAAATGGGTGCTGTTGACTAGCTATCCCTCCAGTGGCACAGTGTTATGTCTGCGGACTTACAACACTAGAAACCGGGTTTAGATACCCGTGGTGGTCAGAGCACAGATAGCATAATGGGTGTGTAGTTTTGTGCTTAATTACAAATAAACCCCTCAGTTTATCACTTCAAAATTATGGATGGCTATTGCAGATAGCCCTTGAGTAGCTTTACGAGAATTTCCGAAAACAAACATACAAAATACTTTTGTTTTTCAGGGAGTGTTCTAACGAATACGTTTATCCAGGGAACAATTCAGGCTTTGGACAAAACTGAAACTACACTTCTGGCATCTAAAGCTGAATTTGTTTACGATGGAAACTCTTTTTCTCGAACGTACGTGGCAGTGAAGAAGGAACAAGAAGTTGTCACTGCTGGACAGGTATTGTGATTCTGGAGATGACTACATTAGTATTGTGCCAATGTTAGAGAGGCATATGGTAATTCTGGAAAAGTAAAAACAGAATAATTTGACACTACATGTTAAGCGTTCCTTCTTATTATATTTTCTAGTTCTGTTTTCAAATAAGATAAAATTTAGGGCAAATACATAAAAATATTCAGCACAAATATTAAAAAGTAATTTTACCCACATGTTTAAGATTCGACATAAAGGAAATATTTTGATTATAACTTGGCATGTGCTGAAATTGTATCGTTCACTCACGGAGATCACAAGGAGAGATCATAATTACTTTAAAATGTCTTTTAAGACCAAACAGATTGTTAATTTTACCATGCAAAACTTTGTCTTTCAGCTTGACGAAAACAAAGTTTAACTTGGATTAATCATAATAAAGAATACATTGACACGCCTAAATAAAAACTTTTTCTAGTTTATTTTTCTCGACATTTCGAGCAGAAGACCTTCGTCAGACAGTAAACACCGTGTTACAATGGAATTAGGCTCTGAGTCTAGAAAAAAAAATGTTCATTTAGACGTGTCTAAAAGAGTAGCCCAAAAGTTGGCGGTGGGTGGTGATGACTAGCTGCCTTCCCTCTAGTCTTACACTGCTAAATTAGAGACGGCTAGCGCAGATAGCCCTCGTGTAGCTTTGCGCGAAATTCAAAACAAACAAACAATTTCACGCAAGTTTTTCGCAAATACTTTTTAAAGAAAGAAAAAAAATATATACCTGGAACATTGACATACTTTCCATCATTAGAAAATTATATTATACACAATACGTTACTATAATACTACACGTCTTAAATGACGTGAAACTTTGATAGGGCTATCTGTTATCAAAATGTGACATTTCAGTAAATCTCAAGTGTCTATTAAACATCAAAGTCAACTATACTCTATTCTCTTGAATAAGTGTTGTTCCACAAGACGTGAGAAGAAAAACTTGAATAAATGATAATAAAATATAAATTTTCAACGAATAGTGGGATTGACCGTCACATTATAACGCCCCCACGGCTGAAAGGGCGAGCATGTTTGGTGTGAGAGGGATTCGAACCCGCGACCCTCAGATTGCGAGTCGAGTGCCTTAACCATCTGGCCATGCCGGGCCCCTTACGTGAAAACCCTTCCAAAATTCTTGACAGAAGAACAACGTTTCGATGCACCTACTAAGTCATCATCAGATTCAACGTTCTTCTTTAGAGTTTCTAATTCTAAGTGGACTGTACTGAGCATTCTTTTCTTGGGCCAAATTTTAATTATGACTATCTTCAGAAATAGTATATTATTAACATCAAATTATCAATGTTTCAATGTTTTGAACTCATAGACTAGACTAGAGTTGAGCGCTTGGTGACAATCCCAGGGGTATCCCTCACAGGCACTTACCCATCACGTATAGGCAAGAAAGTTGAAGAAAGTTCTTTTACTGATTATTATTGATTCTCCAACATGCTGAAGACTGAAGGTTCCTGCTTGACCCGTCTGACGACATTCTTGTGTATTAGGTCGTCAAGATATTAATGTCGCGTTTTGGAACACTTTCATTAACCACCCCCAAAACGCGTACATCACGTATAATAGTTAAGCGAACCGCCTAAACGTCACGTTAGAGTAGCCTATATGGTGTGTAAAGTTTAGTATATTCTAATCCCTTATAGTGATGGCACACGACGAGACACACACATTGAATACAAGAAGGGAAACAACGTCTTTGTAGCCACAGAGAATATCAAAGGAGTTTATGGAAATGTTTTGAACGTTCGCAAGTGTCAACGATGGTTCGGCAAATTTCGTTCAGTTGACTTTAGCCTTAAAACCTGTGGTGGCAGGGGTCGACATGTTGGAATTGATATTGATGCTCTGAAGACGCTTATTGAGTCTAACCCAAGGCAACACACTCGTGAAATGGCCCTGAAATTACATGTCTCTCATGAAACAATATGTAAACATCTAAGGAATATGGGAAAACATCTTAAAGAAGGAGTTTGGGTGCCTCACGAACTCTCAGATGATCCTCGTTTCCAACTTGTGAACGTTGCTTCGTCTCTTCTGGAGCGTAATGCGCGTGAACCATTTTTGGACAGAATTGTCACCGGTGATGAAAAATGGATTCTCTATGCGAATATTAAACGCCAAAAACAATGGCTCAGTCACAGACAAAAACCACTTACGACCTAAAAACCTGAATTCCCTCCACAGAAAGTGATGCTTTGCATTTAATGGAAGTAATCAAAGGAGTAATTCATCTCGAACTCCTCAACCCACAGCAAACTGTCAATGCAGAGATCTATAGTCAGCAACTGGACCATGTAAATCAAGCCATTCACTCGTCAATCGGAAAGGTGTTCTTCTTCTCCACGACAAAGCATGTCCATATGTGGCACGTTTGACGCAACACAAGATTATGGAATTGAGTTGGGAAGTTCTCCCACTCCCACCATATTCTCCAAATACGGTACCATCAGATTACCATTTTTTCGTTCGCTGCAACACCATCTTAATTGGAAAACTTATGCAAATGTGGAAGGTGTTAAAGAGGACATCGACATGTTTTTTGCTTCAAAGTCAAGTGATTTCTTTAATCAGGGCATTAACAATCTGATTGTAAGATGGAAAAGCCTCATTAATAGGAATGGAGACTATTTCATTTAATAAATGTTTTGTTTTGATATATAAGTTTTTCATCTAAAAAAAGCGACATTAATTTCTTGACGACTTAATACTTAACAGCTGGAGACTTCAGTGCTAGCACCGCCACCTCACATGCTGGTGAAAACAGTAACGGGAGAAGTTTGCGTTCTGTTCTCCACAATATAGCTACCAACCATATACTGTTAAACTCGCGTACAGCAATAAGAATCGCTGAGCGCCAAGGCAACGGAAACTCGTAACAAGGCCTTGGTTTTGTTAATACTACCTTTAGTGTCACCTCTACCAAGGAAGCCTGGCATGGCCTGGTGGTTAGGGTAGTGGACTCGCAATCTGAAGGTCGCGGGTCCCAATTCTGTCCTCGAACATGCGCATCATTTAAATTATGGGGGAGTTATAATGTGACGTCAATCCCACTATTCATTGGTAAAGAGTAGACCAAGAGTTGGCGGTGGGTGGTGTTGACTAGCTGCCTTCCCTCTAGTCTATTACTTAAACATTAAGGACAGCTAGCGCAGATAGCTCTCGTGTAGCTTTGCACGAAATTCAAAACAAACACAAATCTATAAGGGATTTCACTTTTCCTTCAGTCATCGGATTTTTGCTTCTGGCAACATCGATTTTATCACTCGTGTGACTTGCACAGATCTGGTAAATAAAAGATGGGGAGGGGATACTAATCGTGAAGGGTCAAGGACTTCCTGAGCACGAACCTTTTTAAAATACGTACACCAAACGCAAACTCTGTTTTAAAATGCGCACAGCTCGTAAAAAGTGCATACATCTACTCTGAGCAATAATTGTTTGTGTTTTCTTATCATCAGCTGACCTCTCAGTGTAAACATTTACGGTTTCATTTTTTTAAAACGGCATTTAATTAAAAATGTATGAAATGCAAGTGCCTCAAGATCATTAACGTAGTGGCCACGCTATTTATCTGATGTGATTTTACCAGAAACCTTAGGCTTATATGTATTCTTTTATCTGTACCTTAAGCAACTGTTTATGTCGGAGAGGTATTTGGAAACTGTCAATAGTTTAAAGACAAATTACAAATAAACTATAAATATAGATAAAAGTAAGCTAAAAATATAAATTTAATAAATGATAGTATTTAAAATTATAGAAGTACAAAAATATGAATAAGTTACCTTCAGACACACTCAGTAGATTTCATTTTCAACGAATAAGTTCCGACCTTAAAATGCCATACTACTGTTAATTCACATTATCCAAAGTAAAGCGATCGATAATATTAGGTAATGAGAAATTGATTCTCTATTCAACACTGCAAAATAAACTCGCTGCGTTAGCACCTTCAAACAATGACTTATTAGTCAAAAATACAAATAAACGTATGTATGTTTGTAATTAAGCACAAAGCTACACGGGTATCGAAACGCGGTTTCAAGCATTGTAAGTCCGCAGACATATCGCTGTGCCACTGGGGTGGGGGGCAACAAATAAACAACTACACACAGTTCAAAGTAATAATTTCACATTGTAACCAACATCTAATTATACGGTTATAACGAAAAGACAACTCGTTATCGTCCAACTAATATCACTTGAGTTTAAACTTTCATACTAATATTAATATATACCCAATCACTAATACGGAAAACAGGTGTAACCAAGAAAGTCAAAGTAACTAAACTTGTGCAATTATTAACAGCAGTTTATTTGAGAAAGTGAATAAAGTTCGCGTTTCATAATTCCTATACACAGAAAAACTTGAGCCTTCCCATTAATAGAAGTCAATATCTATCCTCAATCCAGTCTATTGTTTTACCAAATGACAATCTTTGCAATTATCCATGAAAAAAACATCCAAATTTAACCGTTTCTGACTACTGGTATATTAGTAACAATGTTACAAATAGTCTTCGAGAAGCCGTTAAATATTCTACATCCGGGTAACAATATGTAGTAGAAAAAAATCAATTAAAAATGCATATCAATAACAATATAGGTTATTAGATCCTCGCTTGAATGGGGCAGGATTCATTTTGGAGAAATGGGGAGGGAATTGCATTAAAAATCTCGGAACACATCAAAACAAAACAAGAAGGAAACAAAGAACACAGTGCTTTAGAACACAGTGATTTAGGAGAAAAATCTTTGGCAAAACATTATTTCCCTGCAGTATTGGAAGTGACAATATAATTATAGAAAACGAAGTAATTTCTAGACAGGAAGCACACAGATACAGCATTAATTGAAACGATTAACTCCAAGAATAAACAGGGATAGATGTTGGGAAATATAACTATTGGTTGATATATATATATATATATATATACACATGTATATATATCATAACATTGAAGCTCCTCTTTTGAGTTAATTATATAATTGCTCAATATTTGTTACACGTAATTTTATTCTTAATGATATTGATAAAGTCTTAGAAGACTATATCTATTTCCTTTTTAAATGTATCATTTTGGAATTATTACTTAGTCGAAAGATAATTTTCTATATCATCATGGATGGCGATATATACATGCACGTTGATTCATGGATGACGATATATATACATGCACATTGATTCATGGATGACGATATATATACATGTACGTTGATTCATGGATGACGATATATATACATGCACATTGATTCATGGATGGCGATATATATATGCACATTGATTCATGGATGGCGATATATACATGCATATTGATTCATGGATGGCAATATATACATGCATTTTGCTTCATGGATGGCAATATATACATGCACATTGATTCATGGATGGCGAAATATACATGCACATTGATTGTAAGCAGTTCTATTTGTTCCCTAACTAACTCGGTTATCATCATGGATGGCGATATATATATGCACATTGATTCATGGATGGCGATATATACATGCACATTGATTGTAAGCAATTCTATTTGTTTCCTAACTAACTCGGTTGAATTTTGTGGCTCGATAAGTTAGGAATAAAAATGCTGATGAAGGAGAATAATTGAGGCACATGTGATGATAAAGATGTTTCTAGAGTTAGTCGCAATTCATGTCAAATTTTAAATTGTACTGTTTTTAAGTGAATCAAAAATTGTTCCTTTCTTGAAGTTAAAACCAATTGTCTATTCAACGCTTTCCAGTATCTACTTGCCAATCTGAAAACAAACTTGCGCTTACGGAAAAATTAATTTTATTAAATTACATTCGGCAAACCTAAGCTAGGCTCTTTCAGTTAGATTTTATCATCTAACCTCTATAAAAGCCAGTGTGTGTCACGTCACGTCACACTTGATTTCTCGAAATAGGAGGAGTCATAAAAGCCAGATGTATTTATCCAGATAGAATAGTTCGATTACTGTTTGCCCATTACGATCTTAGTGACGGGGGTGCTATGAAACATTTTAAGTGTAGTGAGTGTTGGTATAACAAGCCTAAAGTAAAGACGTAGTATGGGGTCTAGAGCCAAGGGCGTAAAATTTATCATGAAAGTAAAAATATCGATTCAATTTTAAGCTTAAATCGTTTCTGAATTAAGCTATTTGCTGTTATATCACCAACCTTTTAAATACAAAACAAACCTCTTTATTCAAGGGAGACTCTAAATCAAGAAATCAACAAATATATTTCCAGTGTTGTTGTCTACACATTTCATTTTATACTTTCAGTACATAGACTAACAACAATATTAAGTAATACTTTTGTTGCTAAGCCACATAACATCAAACCCATTGATGGAATGTAGTATTACCAAAATACACTGGCTTTTTTATATATTAGAAGTTGTTAGTCTAACTGATTTTTACCAATTATTATTCTATGAATTCGCCACGAATTCATTTCATGAATGATCTTAATTTTCATTGGCTCACAAAGGAATTTATCCACGTTTGACTGCCTCGACTGCACTTTTCTGCCTCTTTGTTGGTCAAGCTTGATTTCGCAAAACTTATTTATCTCAGTTAGCTATGAAATGCTAGGTTAGAGTATACTATAGGGTGGGAGTGATAGTACTTGCCCCGTCATCTTTGACGGGCTATATATACCTAGTAATTCAATAATAAGCCTCTGTAAAAATCAGTTTTCTGTAAGCGTGCGTTAGAAACGGTAAAACTTTTCTCCCGTGTCTAAACACAAGAATACGATATAAATAATGCAATAACGTTTGTTTTCTTATATCTAAGTAAGAATTTTATTTGATGTTTGATTTCAGCATCAAAATAAATATTGAAATAACCGCTCTAATACTTAAGTGAACCATTTTTGATAGATTAACTATAAGGGAGAACGATATTTAGGTGAAATTGTTAATCACTGTTGAAGGTCAATACCTTCAATAATGTAGAGAAGAAATATTTTACTATATGATGAATGAAATGGAAGAAAACGACAGGAGGTTATGTATGTTTAGGAAACCAATAATTTCCACGTTTTTGTTATTGTACTTGTGAAATTAGAAACATTTCTAAAACAGATATTAATAATAATCATAGGTAGAGAGTACAATGCTGATTCTGTTTACAGTTACCCACTTCGACTATTTTCTACTGGCCAAGCATGTATCTATTGTTTCGTGTTTTCCTTTTAGACCATGAAGTTGACAGATAATAATAACAACGTTGCCAGTGAAGGCTTACCGCCCGCTTGGATAGCTGCTATTGCTATAAACTGCGCATTGGTTTTCTTGTTCATCATCTTCTTGATCTACTGTTACTGCAACAAAAGGAAAAGTAAGTCGTATTGTATGAACTATGAAGATGGCTCAATTTGGGCATTTTGCATTTGTCTTTCAGTTCCAATTTTGTAACTATATTTATCCATTTAAAATGACCTACTTTCTATCGTTATCTTTTGTTATTCTTAGATATAGTATTTATTAGCTACAACATTTTCTATAATACCTATCACTTCTTATCATTGTATTCTTTAAACAAAATAAAATGTGATAAGTATTACCAAAAAGTGACAAAACTTGCCATACATATTATTAAGCTATTAATATTATAAACTTTGTCTCAGTTAAAATATAATACAAACCTTATCATATTTGGTGCAGATGTCGAACAGACCTGACTGTTGTAGACCGCTTCTGACACCATTTTGTTATGACTGTGCTATACTTGCACTTCACTTTCCCTTCAACTGTATTAGGGTTGTACTTATTTCTATCTGGAAGTGACACACTAATATACATAACAAATTACTGTTTATTACTATAATAAACAATACATAGCTTTAGAACTAGGTTTTGCTTCTTACTGGCAGCTTATTACCGCTTCTTTAATATTTTTCTCAGTTTATTCGCCCTCTCTTACATCTTCTGTTGAATGTCTGTTTCATATCCCCTTCTCAAAATCACGTCAAGTCTTTTTCCTTAATGTCCTTCCATAATTAGGATTATAATGCTTCATAATCATAGGGGTTCCGTAATCTCCACGAAAGACAACCGATCCCGCCAATAATTTTCTTATTACTTAAATGCTCAATCCCTTAGAGATTTACGAAAAGCGGGTCACTTTCTCACCGTCTCTCAACCCTAACCGATGTCCCTTACACCTAGCTTCATAACACGAACCGAAAGCCTCAACAAATAACATAAAACTTCATTCAAAAACCAAGAAAAGAGACAAGAAAAGTCAATAAAAATTAACAATGCAATAGATATTACAGAAGCTGTCATATAGCAGCCAACGATCAGTCCGAAACTATTAATTTATTTCGTGAATTTAGTTTTCTTCATGTATAACCGAAAGCTTAAACATAGAACATAATAAAACTAAGTTGAATAGTCATAGCATTATAAATATATTTAATGTTTTAAAGTGTTTTACTAGAGTTTTATGACATGTTACAACTAAGTATTTCTACAATATTCGTGTGTTAAACTAACTGGCCACTTTATTAGGTTCCTTCACTCTCACACACACATTTGTATAAAACTGATTATTTGCATATACAAAATAGATTGGTGAAGATTATGTGAGGATGCTGTTTGACGTAGGCCCTATGATTTTATTTCTTTTTATCATTATTAAGGTTTGTTTGTTTGTTGTTAGTTATGTACAAAG